CTTGGAAACTTAATTTATATACAGAAAACCCCCAGTAATTATGGTTTGCATTCAGCTATACCCAGACTATCATTATGGCACTATTACTGCAGTTTAAGTGTTGGTATGTTGCTATTCTAATCAGGCCACTGGATCGTTCCACTTCTTTTTCCAGCTGAGTGATCATTTATTCCTTCAGAATAAAACAATCCTTTTAAAATCTGCAGCCTTTGAAGTCTGTCTGCTCAGACGGCTGTGACAGTCAGTATCCATTCTGCAGATCCGTGCACAGCAAATCCACAGGAGAGGATGCAAGAGGATATGAGTTTCCACATTCATCCGAGCAGAGACGAACTGCAGCAAAAAGAGAGCACAAAGAGCGAATTCACGAAGGAGGATGAACGGAGGGGGGAGGAGGAGGAGAGGAAAGAAGAAGGGGAGGGGAAAATGGAAAGAATAATGATGAGGACAATGAGCGGGGAGATGATGAGAGGAGCAGATGAAAGAGGGGATGATGATGCTGACGATGATGAGACTAAAGTAGCAGTTTTTGTTTCAGGCAAAACAAGGGGAGCTGGAAAGAGAGAAGTTTATGATGGCTTCCTGCTGAAAAACTACTCTGGTTCCCCATCGCAGTAAATCATGTCACTTGGCTACATCCTGTCTGTTCTCAACTTCTCACCGGCCTGAAGGCGATAAACAGCCTCGCTGCCTTATTGGAAACAGATGTTATGAAAGGGAGAGAAGGAGAGACAAAGAAAGAGAGAGAGAGAAAGAGATGTAGGGGAGGAGGGGAGGAAGAAATGTAATGGATAGAGATAAATGCTGAAAACATTGGTGGCTTCGGAGCTTAATGAGATCAATCTGAACGCTTTTAGGTCAACCTCCACTAAAACAGAGACAAAGCTCAGTTTCTGCCAGTTCACTCTGGTCTGATTACGTCTTCCAAAACAAATTGGAAACCAAAGGCCATCACATCTACAATCTTTGTTTTCTACGATCTCAACCACGGTAGAAATGTTTGCTTCACTGGTCAATTACAATAAGAGAAGATCTGAACTACGCACGCGCATGTCTTTGCTATTCTGCCTTGATTCACCTTCTCTGCTGTTAAAAGACAAACAAGAATATGAGTCCAGACTATAGTTTGTCTGTCTGCCTGTTTGGTTTGTTCTGCTTGCCGTTTCATGCGTAATGAACTGGTGTTATCAAACTCCACATCTATCTGGGCACCCATATATTAATACTGTATACTACACATAGATGACTGGAGTACAACCTTGGGTTTTATGTCCTCTCCTGTGCTGGTTTGAATGCTGTTTTTACCAAAGCCTGTGTTGCATTTCTAGATGTTATCCGAAAAGTTTAAATGGCATTGCTTCAAAGCCAAATTAAAGATGTCAACACTATTTTAAAAAAGTCTTTAGCATCATAATCTTGAAAGCAGACATTTTAACTGCAACCTTTTTTTAGCTAAACTGGCAATTTTGGGTTTCGGGATCTAACGATAACTCACGATTGAATACATTTCATGAAACTTTGAACAAAATGAGATTGAAGACAAATTATGACGCTTTAAATTTCTCACACAAAAATCTACAAAATATCTTTTCTTTACCAAACTGAAGAATCTTTTTTTTATTTCCAAGGTAGGGTGTCCTAAAATGTGTCTATTTATGTGCAAACTTTAATCATCTGTGTGTTTAAATGCATATTGTCACATCTCAGCTACCATATATTTTTGACCAAATAAACATGGACTGTGTATATATCCTCATGCTGCTTATTCAATCAATATATTTTATTATTAAGGCCTGAAGACTTCCACTACTGTGCACATTATAAATGGAATAAATTACAAAGAACCGTGTTTTATGTGTGTTCTTCTGCTGTACTCTAGAGATCTTGATTCCAATGAGAATACCTGATCGAATAAAGCTCCTAAAAAATAAAGAAGAATATGCAAAACCCTGCTCTTCCTGCGACATGCATCAACGTAACATACACAACAGCCATTGTCTTCTGTGTTTCAACCTTGTCCACCCTGTTTAATCTGCAGTGAGGGAGCGGATCACTCCCTTTTAATCCAATCAGTATCAACTCTCACATGAGGAGTTGACATGGGGAGGATGAAGCGAGTGTTTACACTGAATTACAGTCAGGCAAGCTCACCTTGTAACAGGAGACGTTTGCCTGAAAATAGCCCAAATGACTGGAAAGGCCTTCAGAAGTATTCAGATCTTTTATTTAAATAAAAGTTCTAATACCACACTTAAAACTGTGAAAACTGTACTACAAGTAAAAGACCTGCATTCTACTTAAGTAAAAGTATGTGAGTATTATCTGTAAAATGTACTTACCTAAAAGTATGAAAAGTACAAGTACGATTATAGGTTTTTGGATTAATATTACTGCTGCATTTCACATTGTATACTGTTTGGTACTTTAATCTACATTAATGCTTCATATTCTATAAAATCCTCATATGTTTGTAGCATCTGTGTCTCATTCTCATGAGCCTTGTTTTCAGCTTTGTGACATTTTCTAGTTAATCCAAGAGGTTTTTGTCTAAAATAGTTGATTTATCTATGATTTATAGAAGCAAGAGGATTTCCGCAACCCATAAAGGAAGTAAAGTTTTTTCTTTTGTATTGCACAATACCCAGTAACATTGAACATGTACAGTTATCCATCTGGACCATATTCAACTTTATTGTATACAGTTATATACTTTATATAACTTTATAGATTTCTATTATATTTTTATTTTATATTTTACACTATTATATTTGCTGTTTGCATACATGTCCCCTGTGCTGCTGTGACTAACTTTTTTTCCTAATGGGGGAGATAAAGGAACATCTTATCTTATAAACATCATCAAATTTTGAGTTTTAACTGGACAGGAAGTGAAGGGTTTCAAAAATTGTTATCTGAAAACCTAACAAATGTAATAAAAAGTACAATATTTGCCTCTGAGATGTAGTGGAGGAGAAATATATAAAGTATAAAAGGAAATACTCAAGTATTACAGTACTTAGCTACACTGCTGAAAGTAAAGTCATAAACTAATGAAATGTGAAGCTTTTCCTGTCTGCCCTGACCAGTGACATGCAACACACACACACCGACACACACACACACACACGCAC